CAGGCACAGCCTTAAAACCTTCTCCCCGAAGTGCTAAAAGGCCGTAACTGCAAAACCGGCCATTTGTTTTAAATTGGAAATTTGAATAAAAAATAGTGTCATTTTTCATTGTTAGGTCAAAATAAGTGATTAAATCACCTTAATAAATGTGCAGGATGAGCACGACTCAAAATGAACCTTTTTCAATCATGCATAAAATCCCTTTGGAGTTGCGTCTGTGGTGGAACGACTTAGGAGGAGAAGGGCAAGATGAGGTCAAAAAATATTTGAAAGGGCTTACCGGTTTGTTGGAGATTGTGCCTCGGGGAGACATCATCAGAGCATTGGTCACATGCTGGGACCCGGCACATAACGTCTTCCATTTCTTGGACTTTGAGCTAACTCCGACACTAGAGGAAATAGCCGGCTACATCGGAAAAGATGAGGTTCCTTTAAGGCATAAGTACTTAGTGGCCCCAAGAACTGTAGCTGTGCACAGATTCTTAGACTCACTGAAAATAAGCAGGACGGTCCACAACGCAGATTTGGCAAGCGGCTTTTGTACTCCACACTTCATATATCACAGATATGGCCACATAGGAGGTTTCAACAACCCGAAAAACAAGATATGTAGCAAAGGGAACCGCCAAAAATGGGAGGAGCACAGACGTTTTGCTTTTATGGTAGTTTTTCTGGGGCTTGTGGTATTTCCAAGGAGAGACGGAAACATTGACATAAAAATAGCCGGGGTCGTCAGCACTCTACTCACTCAAGCCAAAAGCACTCTTGCGCCCATGATATTAGCCGAAATCTTCCGCGCTCTTACAGCCTGCAAAGCCGGGGGAGACTTCTTCGAGGGGTGCAATCTATTGTTGCAAATGTGGATGACCGAACACTTGTGCCGTCGTCCTCAATTCCTGAGTTATGGGTCTACAAAGAAGACATGTATAGAAGAGTTTTACACAAGGATTAAGGGGATCAGCTTGCCCGAGGGATTCACGGGCTGGACTTCATACTTTCGGTCTCTCACTGCTAGTCAAATAGAGTGGACATTTGGATGGTTGCCTGTCGATGAAATCATATATATGCCAGCAACGGGGCCGCACTTCCTTTTGATGGGTCTTAAGAGCATCCAGCCTTATGCCCCGTATCGGGTTTTAAGGCAACTCGGGAGGTGCCAAATAGTGCCAAAAGACGGCGATTTTAGTGCTCAGGTAGTTGAAATTAGCCCTGACGGACAATTCCCTGAAGCAAGAGTCCGCCAGATCTGGAATGAATGCCAATACTTAAAAGCGGATACTTGCGTACAGGATCGGGCCAAAGGCAAAGTGTCGCCAGGATACCTTGCTTGGTATAGGAGAGAATATAAGCATGAAAGGCCAGCTAAAAGACCTCACATCCGGGAGTTTGTCGAGTCATCGCAAGAACAGTGGGCTTGGTTAGCTAAAGAAAATGAGTACAGGGCCCGCATAGGAGCATTGGAAAAACAGGTCCAAGACCTCCGGTTTGAAAATAGCGTGCAAGCCGCGGCTGATGAGGGTGAGAGAAAGAAGTTGGCCAAAGAGAATGAAGCCTTACGAGCCCAAATCCAAAAGATGAAGTTAGCGGCCGAAATTGGACTATAATTAGGCCCTAAAGAACCACATTTTTGTATAGCTTTTACGGTAAAAAGTGATAACCAAATGCTCTGATTAGTGCTTTTCATGCTTTGCATGCTATATCCAATAAAAGAAGTTTGTGGAGTACTTTTGGGATCAATTACGGAGAAAAGGAGGCCAATCATACAATATCCACAAAGTGCACCAAGCAAAGGGACAAAGCCAGAACTGAAGCTGGTCTGCCGTTGTCCGGGCGTAACCGCGGTAGGACCGCGACAGAACAGTGCTGCAGATTCTGAAGGCCATTCTGGCCGCAGTCCTGGCGTAACCGCGGTAGGACCGTGGCAGGACGCGGAAAGTTCAGGGACCAAAGTGTCAATTCGGGGAAACTTGGTGTAAAACCCTTATAAGATGTAGAAAATCACCCACAATAGAGGAGGCTTAGTTCGGAGATTACTATTGGAAGATGAACAAGTGTGAGAGATCACCCAAAACATCATAGTTTTTTATTCTCTTCTATTTTTATTACAATTCTTCCATTATGAATAATCTATTGGTTTTATCTTCCATTGTCATGAGTAGCTAGATACTTTAACCTAAGGTTTTGGTGAAACTCGTTGGGGATGACTTGGTTGTTATATTAATATATTTGGAATTGGTTGTTAATCTCTATTTGTTCATCTATGTTTCGATTGTGGTTAGTTGAAGGGGCCCTCAATTATCCGTCCCTATTTAGTATGTATTTGCTTGAGAGAGAGTGCATATTTAGGTAGTTGTTTGAACAACATCACTCCCGGAGTATAGACGAGAGTCATAACCGAGGGTTTAGAGGTTGGTTTAGAGATAACGATACCTCGGGTGCAATCTAAGTGAACTGTTTTGTGAATCTACCTAACGTAACTTAAGAAAGTGCGTCTAGTAAATTATCATAATTGCTTGAGAAAGATTTATGATAGCTAGAGCGTTCATGATTGAAAGAGACAACTAAGTCTGAGTTATAATACATATTCAACCAAGGAAATTAACAACGGGGGAAACCATTAGCTTAGATCTTATCCAATTATATACAAGCAAGCTTAGTTAACTTCCAGCTTTATTTACTTTCAGTTTAGTTGTTAGATATATCATCAATTGTGAAGTACAAAGTTTGGGAAAATTGACTGTGTGAATCTAGTAAATCTGACAGAGTAATTGATAGGTTAATTCTCTGTGGTTCGACTCTGGGCAGAAATACCCAGACTATATTTGCAACGTCCGTGTGTGTCTTTTTATAAGGCATAGTTTGGCGCTATCAAATTTTGGCGCCGTTGCCGGGGACTTAACGGTGTTATCAATTACAATTGAAAGAAGTACAAAAATTCTTAGTGTAGTCAGTTTTCTCTATACCCAATCTGTTCATTGAAATTCTAATGTTTGAACTCTTGTGAAAATTAGGTGTATGCCTAGAAGTTCCTCAAGGACTAGAGAACTACTAGAAGGACTTTCAGACCCCGAGAAAATATTCAGGGCATTGAATCATGCTAACAAGAGGCTGCAACAATCACATCAGTCATACCAGCTCGAATTTAACATGGGTGACGCAGAAAACAACATTGGAAACGTTGGGGATCTGCCGGCAAACCCCGACGTAAGAGTAGTGTCACCCCTTGTGCCCGAAGCTGCACTTTATGACTGGGCACAACCCACAACTGATAACTTGGCCACTGCCATAGTTGTGCCCGCAATTCAAGCGGAGACCTTCCAGATAACCAACAACATGCTGCATCTACTGCAGAATAAAGGATTGTTCTCCGGATCACACATTGAAGACCCTCAGCAACACCTGAAATTTTTTTTGTCAATTTGTGTGACCCAAAGGCAGCCAAATATGACCCCGGAAGCTATCAAGATGCTCCTGTTCCCGTTCTCTGTGACCGGGAAAGCTCAGACTTGGTTAAATTCGCTCCCTATCAATTCCATTGCCACCTGGGAGGAATTAGTCAAGCAGTTTCTGAACAAGTTCTATCCACCAAACAAGACTGCAAGACAGATTGATGAAATATTGCGGTTTAAGCAGCAGCCGACTGAGTCCTTGCAAGAAACTTGGGAAAGATTTAAAGGAATGATAGTGAAGTGTCCTCACCATGGCATTCCAGACCAGATGCTCGGCCAGAGATTCTACATAGGGCTAGCTGACCATTTAAAAGCAAATGTGGATGCTTCAGCGGGAGGTGCATTATTGAGTACGACATTCACCGAGTGCAAAATCCTTCTTGACAAGATGTCACAAAATTCGGGGTGGATGACTAGAGCTACAACACTGGCACCCATAGTGCACTCAGTTCCTCTTGACCCAAACAATTCACATGCAGAGAATATGGCCACACTTATGACCCAGATGAGCATATTAACAAAGAAGATTGATGAGATGGGCACAAAACAGGTGCACATTGTTGATACAACAAATGGAGGACTGTGTACACCTTGTATTAATCAGTCTTATGTGTGTTCATGGAGAGGAGAAGGCGAAAATCAAGGGGCAAGGGAAGATATGAATTATGTCAACAACTATGGGGGGCAGAGAGAGGGAGCACAGCAATGGAGACCGCAGCAAAATCAGCAGTACAGGCCTAATATGCAACAGCCTGGGGGTATGCACCCTCAAAACCAATTAGTGCCAGTACCATATCAGAAACCACAGGGCTATCCACAGCAAAATCAGCAACAATTAGTTTATCAACCGCCTCCTCAGCAGCAAGATAACAATATGGTGGAAATCAGGGGTATGCTTCAGCAACTCATTGGGACAAATAATAAAGTGCAGGAAAAATTGGCAGTGCATGATTCAGCCATAAAGAACATAGAAACGCACTGGGACAGCTGTCCATGGCTTTGAACAACCGTCCTCAGGGAACCTTGCCTGCAGACACTAACATAAACCCCAAGGAGCAAAACCCAAATCAGCTGATGGCAGTAAGTCTCCGGAATGGGAGAGATTTAGATAGAGAACAGGAGAATCTACAAGCCAGGAATGAGAGTACGACAGTCGCTCCAGTTCCGTTAGAGGTGGAGGATCCAACAGAGCTTACTGAAGTGGTGGTTGAGCAGAGTCAGGAGAAAGAAAAGATGAATGAGCAAGCTGCAGAACAGGTGGCACCTCTTGTGCCAGAAAATTCCAACATAGAGAAGCCAGCAAGCAATGCACAAAGGGTGATACCTGCACCCTTCCCTCAGAGACTGGTTAAACAAAAGAAGGAAGTTCAATACAAGAAATTTATGGAGATGCTGCGTCAGATTTAGTTGAATATTCCTTTGATGGATGCTTTGAGGGAGATGCCCGGTTATGCAAAGATGATGAAAGATTTAATGTCACGAAAGTTTGATTTTCAGGATCTTTCCACTGTGACCCTCACACAGACCTGCAGCGCAGTAGTGACAAGACCGATGGCTCAAAAGATGTCTGATCCAGGTAGTTTCACTATTCCGTGCACAATTGGGAGCTACGCCTTTGCAAAGGCCTTATGTGATCTGGGGGCCAGCATAAATCTGATGCCACTGGCTGTGTACACTAAATTGGGCATCGGCAGAGCTAGACCGACTTCTATGCTGCTACAGCTGGCTGATCGCACGGTGAAAAGGCCAATTGGTATTCTTGATGATGTGTTGGTGCAAGTGGGGAAGTTTGTGTTCCCAGCAGACTTTGTTATCGTGGACTGCCAGGCAGATGAGGAGATACCTCTCATTCTGGGTAGACCATTTTTGGCGACTGGCAGAGCACTGATCGATTGTGAGATTGGGGAACTAAAAATGAGACCGAACGATGAAGAAGTCATATTCAATGTTCAGCAATCTATGAGAAGACCCAGCGAATATGCTAATTGCTCTTTAGTGGATGCAGTAGATGTGATTCTGCAAGAGGACGACGCGACCCTGGCTGTGAATGACCCATTGGATGCATGTCTGAAAAATCTAGAAGAGATGGATGGTGAAGGGTTAGCTGAATGGGTCATGGCACTTGAAGGCCGAGGATTCTGGACAAGGGAACCTCAATTTGAGTCCCTTGAATTAGAAAAAAGGGCTACACCTCCAGCAAAGCCATCAATAGAAGAACCACCCAAACTGGAGCTAAAGCCACTCCCAAATCACCTCAGGTATGTGTTCTTGGGCCTGATTCGACCTTGCCTGTTATTATATCATCCGGTTTGCTAGATGTGCAGGTAGAACGACTCTTACAGGTACTGCAAGAAAACAAGACTGCCATTGGCTGGACCATGGCAGACATAAAGGGTATCAGCCCAGCCTTTTGTATGCATAAGATTCTCCTGGAAGAGGGGCACAAACCTTCCAGGGAACATCAGCAAAGGCTGAACCCAAACATGAAAGAGATTGTAAAGAAGGAAGTAATAAAATGGCTAGATGCGGGAATCATCTTCCCCATCTCTGATAGTAATTGGGTCAGCCCTGTCCAATATGTGCTGAAAAAGGGGGGAATGACTGTTGTGAAAAATGACAACAATGAGTTGATCTCAACTCGTACAGTCACAGGGTGGCTAATTTGCATGGATTACCGGAAATTGAACACCGCCACCCAAAAGGACCACTTTCCCTTACCTTTCATTGACCAAATGTTGGACAGGCTGGCCGGAAGATCGCACTTTTGTTTCTTGGATGGATATTCGGGGTACAATCAGATATCAATAGCCCCCGAAGATAGAGAGAAAACATCTTTCACCTGTCCGTATGGCATCTTTGCCTTTCGGAGAATGCCCTTTGGGCTTTGCAATGCACCAGCGACTTTTCAACGGTGCATGTTAGCCATCTTCACAGATATGGTGGAGGATATTATGGAAGTCTTTATGGATGATTTCTCCGTGGTGGGAGATTCATTCGAAGACTGTCCTCACAACTTAAGCAGAGTGCTCAAAATATGTGTGGAGACAAACTTAGTGCTAAACTGGGAGAAGTGCCATTTTATGGTACAAGAAGGGATAGTCCTGGGACATCGAGTGTCCAAAAAAGGAATTGAGGTTGACCATGCTAAGGTTGACGTGATTGAAAAGCTACCACCGCCCACTTCCGTCAAGGCGGTGAGAAGCTTTCTTGGGCACGCCGGGTGCTACCGGTATTTCATAAAAGATTTTTCCAAAATTGCTAACCCATTATGCAAACTCCTTGAAAAGGATCAGCCCTTTGTGTTTTCTAATGATTGCAGGTTGGCATTTGAGGAACTGAATAAGAGGTTGGTAACTGCACCCATCATTGTTGCACCCCACTGGGAGCAACACCCACTGGGAGCAACCACTGGGAGCTCATGTGCGACGCAAACGATTATGCTATAGGAGCAGTCTTGGGGCAGGGAAAAGATAAGCTGATGCATCCAATTTATTACGCAAGCAGAACGCTAAGCGGTGTACAGCTCAACTACACTGTGATGGAGAAGGAGATGTTAGCGGTGGTGTTTGCTTTTGACAAGTTCCGATCATATCTGATTGGTTCCAAGGTAATTGTATACATTGACTATGTAGCTCTTAGGTACCTAATTGAGAAGAAGGAGTCCAAGCCGCGCCTAATTCGTTGGGTGCTGCTGTTGCAAGAATTCGACCTCGAAATTCATGACCGTAAGGGCACAGAAAATCAAGTCGCTGATCATCTATCACGACTTGAAGGAGCTGGAAAATCAGTCGAGGTCGAAGAGATTCTGGAAACCTTTCCAGATGAGCAGCTGCTCGCAGCTACTTTGGAAGATGCGCCATGGTATGCAGATTTTGCAAACTACTTGGCCTGCGGTATAGTTCCATATGACCTTTCATCTGTCCTAAAGAAAAAGTTCTTTCGTGATTGCCGCATGTATTATTGGGACGAGCCTCATTTGTTTAGAATATGTGTTGATAATATTATCCGGAGGTGTGTCCCCGAGATAGAACAATTTTCAATTTTGCAGGCTTGTCACGCATCAGCATACGCCATATGCGAGGACATTATGGAGGGGTCAGGACAGCTGCGAAAGTGCTAGAGGCCGGATTCTTTTGGCCAACTGTGTTTAGAGATGCACACCTCTGGGTCAAGGGCTGCAATGAATGCCAGCGGACGGGAAACATTTCCCGTCGCCATGAGATACCAATGAACCCGATTCAAGAGGTAGAGGTGTTTGATGTTTCGGGGATTGACTTTATGGGTCCGTTTGTCAGCTCATTTGGCAATAAGTACATCCTTGTTGTTGTGGACTACGTGTCTAAATGGGTAGAGGCTGCAGCGTTGCCCACTAATGATGCAAGAGTGGTGGTAGGATTTCTGAAAAAGAACATATTCACAAGGTTTGGGACACCAAGAGCGATCATCAGTGACGGGGGCACTCACTTCTGTAATAGAGCCTTCGAGAAACTACTTGCAAAATATGATGTACGCCACAAGGTGGCCACCCCTTACCATCCGCAAACCAGTGGGCAGGTTGAAGTGTCCAACAGGGAGATAAAAAGTATACTAACCAAGACGGTGAATGCCACAGGAATTGATTGGGCAAAGAAGCTTGATGACGCACTTTGGGCCTGCAAAACTGCGTTCAAAACACCAATAGGTATGTCGCCATACAAGTTGGTATTTGGGGAAGGCCTGTCACCTGCCTGTCGAGCTAGAACATCGAGCTTGGTGGGCACTAAAGCAATTGAACATGAATCCTGACGCAGCTGGACAAAATCGACTGACAGAGTTGCATGAGCTGGAAGAATTTGGATATCAAGCCTTTGAAAGCACGAGGCTATCAAGGAAAGAATGAAGAAGATGCATGATAAACACATTGTGGACAGGGATTTCAAACCCGGTGATAAGGTATTACTGTATTATTCAAGATTGAGATTGTTTTCGGGTAAGTTAAAGTCCCGATGATCAGGACCATTTAGAGTAGTACAAATGTTCCCATCTGGAGCTGTGGAGATAACAAGTGAGAACGGCACCAACACCTTCAAGGTTAATGGGCAAAGACTTAAAATGTATGTGGGAGTGGATGAACTGAAAGAGTTGTCTGTGGTACATCTCGATGAACCAAAAAGGTTGAGCGATTCTTAATTGCGCTCGTGCTGCGTCGTGCCCCGACATTAAATCAGGCACTTCATTGGAGGCAACCCACGATAGTATAATTTCTAACATATTGTATATATGCAGGATAGTGCGGAGGACTTTGCATCACGAGCCTAGGCATAACATGGGTAAGGTAGGCATTAAAAGAGGTAAAAATAGTGCCTAAGGGGCAAAACAATGAAAAGAACCCCGAAATTGGCATCCAGGAACAGGCCCAGACCGCGGTCACGGCGTAACTGCAGTAGGAACGTGGTCAGAGATCCTCTCTGATGAAGGTTCACCGCGGTCACGGTGTAACCGCGGTAGGTCAGAGCGGGCCCAGGTACATCTGCAGAAATTCTTTTAATTTTTTTCCCTCTCTTTTCCTCCTTTAATTAACCTAACCTAACCCCACCCTCCCCATAACACCCGCCTATTCTCTCCTCTTCTCTCATCTTCTCTCCTCTTTCTTCTTTCTTCTTCTTCCCAATACCCAAAGCCCCCATTTTTATTCCTTCTTCTTCTTCCTTTCCTCCAACCAAATCCACCACCCCACTGACCCATACACAACTTTCTCTTCTCCCATATACAACCCCCTTGCCAAAACCGCACCCCCTACCTCTCCAAAACACCCCCAAAGCTGTCCCTCTTCACTTTTTCCCCAAGACTCCGCTGTAATTTTCAAGTACTATGGTCCGAAAGAAGCGTAGAAATACGGAAAGCACTTCCGTATTGCCGACGTATGATGCCACCCGGTTCGAGTCACATGAGGCAGAGGACAGGTTTCATGCTAAAGCTACAAAAAGCTTTGTCCCTAAGATTGCTATTGACAGGGATGCCCTCCGTGTAGAAAAACCGGACATGTACGAGGAAATCAGACGGAGGGGGATGGAGTTCTTGTTCGAGGAACCTGAAACGGCCAATCCAATGATGGTCCGGGAGTTCTATGCGAACTGCCCGGAACATATGTGTCGTTCTGTGATTGTGCGGGGAAAAGTGGTAGATGCTTCATTACTGAAGATTCGCCAGGTCTTGCAGCTGCCTCCGTTCACTGGTGAAACTGATTATTACCACCACTCCCCAGGGGTCGATTGGGACACTCTGATTGAGACAATATGCTTAGGGGGACGGCCAGTCTGGATACAGGAGTACATGACCCTTCATTCCAGGTCGTTCACATAGGAGGCTAAGTGCTGGTTTACCATTATTTGCAGCAGGTTATTGCCCACGGGCAACACGTCAGATGTGAACAGCTTACGAGCTCTATTGGTTTGGTGCTTCGTAACCAAGAAGGACTTTGATGTAGCGAAACTCATTGGAGATGAAATGTTCCTTCGGTCACCTCTGATATCTAAGGGGTTTTACTTCCCGTCACTTGTGATGAGGTTATGTCTGTTGGCTGATGTCCCCGCCAGTCCTACGGATGGAACTGTGGCCACAAGAGCAGCATTCAGAGCTGCGAAGATCACAGTGGGCAGAGATGCACCCACACCCATTGAGCTTGACGACGATGATGATGCCCCAGCACCCATGGCACCACCCAGGAGATCTTATGATGTAGCCGGATCCTCTCGGCGACCCCAGACTGGGGTGGGGTTCTCTAGATCACACTCTAGCCGACCCAGGTTGCCTTCTTTGGAGGAAGAGGTGGCAGAACTTCGCACCTCGGTAGATGGCCTGCATGTACGTTTGGATGCCATGTCTAGACGATAGGCCAGGTCTGAGAGCCGGATGATGGCTTGGTTCCGCGCTATAGGGAGGGCTTGTAAAATGGACCTCAACACCGTCTCCGACTCCGAGTTATGACCAGGGAAGTTTTCTTACCCTTCTGCACTTTATTTGTTTTATGACATGGGGACATGCCATATTCTTTTTGTGTGGGGTGGGAGACTTGATTTAGTGTTGTGTATTGTTAGTGTATATATGCATTAAGTATGTTGTAGTTCTGTGCCTCTGTTTTTGTGCATAATTGTTTGGACTTATCTTAGATGTCACTGACTTGGCCCAACGACGGACACTTGTCGACGGGTTTCTTGAGGGCTAAGGTCGGATAAAAAAAATCTAGAAAATGTAGGAGACTCTTTCTGATGACGGACCACTTAGACAGTATTCTTGAGGGAAGTAGTCTAATAATTAAAAAAAAGCCAAAAAGATTTTATTTATTTATTTTATTTTCTTTTTAGGTAGTGTAGTAATTCCCCCTTGGTTTTTCTGTTGACCATGGTTCTTTTCCAAGGGCTTTTCTTGAACCGGGTTAGGTAGATTTTTCTTTAATATTTTTTAGGGCCCTTAGGACTCTCTTGGGCTAAGATGGGTGAGGGCAAGAATGCATCCCGTAGTGTACATACCTGCAAATAACTAAAACGAACTTGAGGGTGCGACGTCTAGGCTCACTTGTAGACTCTTAATCTTATGCCTTAATTTTGCACACCTTGTCTTACTTGAACGCTCACGTGAGTGTGTTGACAAACTAATTCGGAATGAGTTACATGCCAAGTGTGTGTGAGGTAATACATGTATTCTGTGCTTGCATGCGATACCTAGAACTTGACCTGTGTGTGTGCAAAGCGAAATAGAAGTTGTTTGGTCTTAGAGATGATTTAGGCATTTCTTTGTGTGTCCTATATAATTATGAATCCACCTGTACATATTACCATAGTTAACCCCTTCGAGCCTGAAGCCTGTTTCTTTGATAACCTTACAATAACCTACATCCCTGTGTTTGAATAGCTTGACTTTTTGAACCTTTACCTCCTAGAAGCACTTGAATCGTTAAAGATCATATAAAAGTCAAAGTGTGGGGTGGTAATGGAGTGGGAAAAGGAAAATCAGGAAAATACTTGAATGGTGCAATGGTTCTTAAAAAAAATTTGAATAATAGAAGAAGGACCTTGTAAATAGGTGGTCCTAAAATATTGAATGGCAAGAAAAAGCCAGTTGCACCTAGGAAAAGTGGGGGGTAGCTTATGAAACAAGTGTGGAAGAATGACTGGGCTGAACATGGAAATTGGAATAAGGGGAACTATTGTATTAAAAGTGCTTAGGGAGGTTAGTCACTATACCAACCAAATGAAGCCCAATTGATCTTAGACTGAACAACTCGATTAGTAGAGTATTACACTAAGGGCAAGCTTATGGTGTATCTGTGTGTCATGTGAATGTTCTTGCTGAGAGTGAGTGAATTCGTTCTATCTATAGTTCTTTGTTGTTTGATTTTATGTGTGTGGAACTTCTCTAAAAAATGTGATGTGAGGGCATGTAACTCCGGAAGAAAAAGCAAGTCTTCACCTCTGTTTAGAGTACATAGAGTAAGCACGAGTGTGGCATGGCATTAGAGTCTTCACTTGAGGTGTGGCTGTTGCACTGCTTAGGTTGTTCTTTTATAATGGCGGGTGTGACATAAATAGGGTAACGCATCAAACGATTAGGCCTAGAAGTGTGGTTCAACTTGCTCGAGGACGAGCAAAGATTTAAGTGTGGGGTGTTGATAATAGGTAAATTAGACTATAATTAGGCCCTAAAGAACCACATTTTTGTATAGCTTTTACGGTAAAAAGTGATAACAAAATGCTCTGATTAGTGCTTTTCATGCTTTGCAGGCTATATCCAATAAAAGAAGTCTGTGGAGTACTTTTGGGATCAATTACGGAGAAAAGGAGGCCAATCATACAATATCCACAAAGTGCATCAAGCGAAGGGACAAAACCAGAACTGAAGCTGGTCTGCCGCTGTCCGGGCGTAACCGCAGTAGGACCGCGGCAGAACACTGCTACAGATTCTGAAGGCCACTCTGGCCGCGGTCCTGGCATAACCGCGGTAGGACCGCGGAAGGACGCGTAAACTTCAGGGACCAAAGTGCAAAACACGGGATTTTAAGTCCTAAACCCTATATTAAACGAAGGAAGCCGGCCAAGAAAGAGGAGAATGATTTTTGGAAGTGAAAACATCAGAAGGAAGGGCAAGAGGCAAGGAGGATCATTGGGCATCAATCTTTAATCTTCTTCTTTGTTCTTTTACCTTTGAATATGAATTCTTTTGTAATTTTTGTTATTTTCATGAGTAGCTAACTTTTCTAATCTAAGGTTTTGGTGGAACCCGTTGGGGATGAATTTATTGTGATGTTAATATTGTTTTGATTGGTTGTTAATCTCTATTTGTTCAACTACATTCTTGTTGTAGTTGATTGAAGAGCCCTCAATTAGTTGTGCCTATTTATTATGTATCTACTTGAGAGAGAGTGCATATTTAGGTAGTTGTTTGAACAACATCACTCCCGGAGTATAGACGAGAGTCATAACCGAGGGTTTAGAGGTTGGATTAGAGATAACGATACCTCGGGTGCAATCTAAGTGAACTGCAATGCGAATCTAGCTAGCGTAGCTTGAGAGAGTGCGTCTAGTAAATTATCATAATTGCTTGAGAGAGATTTATGATAGCTGGAGAGTTCATGATTGAAGATGCAGCTAAGTCAACGCTATAAGAAACATACAACCAAGGAAATCAACAACGGGGGAAACCATTACCTTAGACCTATTCCAATTGTTTACAAATCAAGCATAGTTAATTTTTAGCTGTTTATTTACTTTCAGTTTTAGTTGTTAGAATTACCATCAACTGTTATTTACAACGTTTGGGGAAGTTGATTCTATAGAATTTAGTAAGTCCAACAAAAGTAATTGATAGGTTAAGTCCCTGTGGGTTCGACTCTGGGCATAAATACTCAGATTATATTTGCAACGCCCGCGTAGTCTTTTGCGAGACTCAGTTGAGCGTGATCATATTTAAAGCACAACGATTAACAGAACACACCCATATCGAAATGAATTCATCTAGAATTAACAACATTCGGAACCTGCAAAAATCCGCTCCTTGTAATACTCGAATTCAATCATTTTTATCCAAAGCTCTCATCATAGTTTGATGCACGCCAAAACAATAAACGACAGTGGGGAATAAAGGAATACCTGAAATGAGAATTTTCCAATATATATTTCCAGAAATAGAGGATACAAGCAGAAACGAGACTTGAGGATGGACGTGAATGGAAAACCGGCTATTGAAATCTTAGACTCGACAGAAACCACGAGCTATCCTCGAACGACGACTTCGACTCCACGGTAATCCTCAATCACACTCCATTTTTGAATTAAAACCAGAAATTGAAACGAAGTAACATGAACTATTTTTCTTTTTTTTTGTTTTTGTTTTCTGATTTCTTGAAGCAACAAGAGAATAAAAACTCAAAAGCTTCTTAATTTCGCTGAAGAATTGAACAGTAAAAGAAGAAGAAACCTAATTTTCTTTTTTTTTTTCAATTTTTGTCCAGACCTCAAATATAGATCGCTCACTCTCCAATCCTCCTCCCCTCTTCTCCAAGAAACGTCCCTTATATAGACCACCTAGAAACTTCCTCTTGTTCTCCAAGAAATTCCCAAAAAAGTCCTAAAGAAAAATCCAAAAACCTCCAAAAATCATAAAATTCTCCAAAAAAAACCAAAGCTCTCTGATTCTTTTTGTGAATGATTTTGAGACAAATGGAAGGAAAGGATTGATTCATAGTCAATCCACGGCTCCCATTAATTCAAAAATCATTCTCAAAGCCACATGAAATGGGAAGAGAATGTTCTTGTTGTCAGAGGTCGTTATAGATTCGGGTGACGTGGAAGGAATATAAGAGTGGGACCATGTGCACGAGTTTGGGCGAGTGAACTCGCCTGATTCCACCGTTGAGTATTGCTTGCGAAGCAACCGCAACTCGTTTGCGAGTTTGGGTGTAGAAGCGGCGGCAGAAGGGTTTGAATGGGTGGGGCGCCGTTTGGGGGTGTTGGGATTTAGGTTTAGGGTTTGAGGAAAGATTTGGCTTATATTTATTTGGGGGAAAGATATGGGCCATTGGATTAAGGTGTTTGGATCAAGGGGTCGGTTCGGTTTGGGCGGGTCAGAGGTGGAAGTGTTTGGGCTGGCCTGACTTGGGGGGGGGGGTAATTTTGGGGCAATTGGGCCACTGAAAATGGTTGTGGCCCGATACGAAATCAAGCAAACTTTTCTCTTCTTTTCTTTTTCTTGATTTTTAGCTTAATAAAATTAATTAAAATCCTAAACTAAGTCCTACATCAAATCTAATTTGTAAGATCAAATTAATTGTCTATTTTTAACATAAAAATAATTAATTAACTTAAGACTAACATTAATAATTTGCAACTAAAAGGTAAAAATGTAAAAATGATGAATTTTTTTTTGATTTTTTTGTTTAATAATGCAATTCACTTATGTAATTAAATCCTAAATGCAATTAAGACCTAAAATGCTATACATGAAATATTTTAGACATTTTTGGTATTTTTATCATGATTTTAAAGTGTTAAATATGCAACTAAAGGTAAACAACAATTTAACAAGAAATTCCTAAAAATTCTATAAAAATTAAAATAATTAGAAAAACCTATTTTGTGAATTTTGTAGGAGTATTTTTAGTTGGGCAAAAATTATGTGCTCATGGATAAAACTGAGGAAGAACATTGAGAGTAAAATTAAATAAAGTCAACATCAGTAAATAGATATAGTTCTTCCTTGGATTACAATGTTAAGGAAATATTAATGTCACTCATATATATATATATATATATATATATATATATATATATGTCCTTTTTGTACAGATCAGATCAAATTGCAACAATTGAATGAACTCTGACGAAAATGATTGAGCTTAATAAAGTTATTATTGCATGGAGAAACTACTATATAGAGGCGAGAGACACGAAAGAATCCAACAAAGTTTTAAAAGCACAAGAGTTATGATGGAACTGTTATATATTTGCATAACTGAGATCAACTATTTATAATACAAGAGTACAATGAGCTTGGGAGAATAGGAGTCTACAAAGATAAGATAAATCTATACAGATAAGTATTTGAGTTCAAAAGGAATTATCCATTTGAGAAGTTGTTAGCCGTGATTATCTTCTATATGCCCCCGCAAGATCGGTACTGCCGGACGAAGATCGATCTTGGAAACCAACTCTGTAAACTTCTTCTTCGGCAATGGTTTTGTTAGAGCATCAACAAGTTGTTCAGCAGAGGAAGTATGGCAGACTATAATCTCTTTCTTTTCAACTTGATCACGAACGAAGTGGAAATCAATAGCAACATGTTTCATGCGACTATGAATATTGGGTTTTTGCAAAGATATATGACACCGATGTTGTCACAAAGCACTGTGGGAGTGTGCTTGAGGGGAAGATGGAGCTCATTATGCAGGTGGGTTAACCATTTGAGCTCAGCAACTGTGGAAGCAACTGCACGGTATTCAGCTTCAGTTGAGGAGCGAGCAACAGTGCGTTATATTTTGGAACTCCAGCTTATAGGTGTACGACCATGAAAAATAATGTAAGCCGACGTGGAGACACGAGAATCTGGATCACTACCCCAATCAGCATCAGAGTAAGCTGTGAGCCTGGTTGTGTCAGAATGATTAATGTGTAGTCCAAGGGTTATTGTCTGCTTCAAGTAGCGAAGAAGATGCTTGGCAGCCTGCCAATGCTTAATAGATGGAAGGTGCATAAACTGGGCAAGCCGGTTGACGGCAAATGATATGTCCGGTCTGGGGTTTTTAAGGTATTGGAGAGCACCTATTACCTGTCGATATTCCTTGGAATTTGTAGGAGGTGAACCATCATTAAGCAAGAGTGGTTCAGTTGAGGACATAGGTGTTGAGACTCCCTTTGTGTCCAGCATGTTGAAACGACTTAAAAGTTCAGCTATGAACTTACTTTGAGTGAGAAGAAGACCATTGTCAAGTGGAACAACTTCAATGTTTAAGAAAAAGTGCAAGGGGCCAAGATCCTTTAATGAGAACCTACTGCCAAGCTTGGAGATAACGTCAAGAATCTGAGAAGTTGATGGCCCAGTAATAATAATATCATCCACATAGATGAGAACATAGATCAAGGCAGTGGATGAGTTATAGATAAAGAGGGATGTGTTAGAATAAGCTCTGCGAAATCCACAAGAACATAGAAACTGCATGAGCGCATTATACCACGCGCGTGGAGCTTGACGCAAACCATAAATTGGCTTGTGAAGACGGCAGTGACGGATCTACATAGATCATTATGGGTGCTCAAGCACCCATTATCTTTGACTAGATCTAGTAGATTTACATAGACAATTAACCAAAAACTCGAATAAGTATTGAGTGAGCACCCACAACTAAACTTGTATTTCCTCTTTTTTTTATAATTTTTATTTTCGAGCACCCACGACTTCGAAATCTTGGATCCGCCACTGGAAGACGGCATACATGATTTGGATAGGTAGGATCAATGAAGCCTTGTGGTTGTTGCATGAAAATAGTTTCCTCAAGCTTACCTTATAAGAATGCGTTGTTGACGTCAAGTTGATGTAAGGGCCACTTATAAGTGATTGCCAAAGAAAGTATTAGCCGGATGGTAGTGTGTTTAACCACTGGGCTGAAGGTAGCATGAAAATCAATCCCGGGACATTGATGAAATCGTTTGGCAACAAGAAGCATTGAATGGATCCATCAGCATTGTGTTTCAAGCGAAACACCCATTTGCAACCTACAATATTTTGAGCAGTGTTAGATGGCACAAGAGTCCATGTTTTATTTCGCATAAGGGCATCGTACTCTTCACTCATAGCTTCACACCACTGGGGATATTTTTGTGCTTGTTTAACAGTGCTAGGAGTGAGGGGCAGGGAAGTAAGTGAGGAGGTAGCAAGATAGTCAAATACTTGTTTTGGCTTGAAAATGTTATTCTGGGATCTGGTAACCATACGACCTGGTGGTTGGTTTGGTTCATTGGATTGTGGTAGTAGGTGGTCTAAGTTTGAGAGGGTGTTTGAGGAGGTAGTAGGTGTAGGCGACGTAGGAGGAAGTGGCGAGGCAGAAGTGGAGATTTGGAGATCATTGGTCACGTCATTATTAGAGGCTACAGGAGCGGTAGATATGCTAGATGGAAGAGAAGAGGTTGGTGATGGAATCGAGAAGTCAGTTGGGTTATTCGGTGTAGCTTTCTGAGTGGATGACTCAAGAGAGGGAGCTTCCCAGGTAGATATTGGAGGACGAGACACGGGGTAGAAGTGTAGCAGTAGAGTGGAATGGAAAAGTGTGTTCCACAAAAACAACATGCCTAGAGATGAAGATTTTATTTGATGAAGGATCTAAGCAGACATAGTTATTTGTAGAGGAGGAGTACCCCAAGAATACACATGGAGGACTTCTTTGATCGAGCTTATGCATGCTATAGGGTCGTAACCAAGGATAGAAGAGACACCCAAATACACGTAACTTATGTGGATTTGGAGGACGATGAAACAAGGCTTGGGAAGGGGAGCTACCGTTGAGGAGGGTGTGGGTAATCGGTTGATCAGATATACTGCAGTTTGGATAGCAAGTGACCAAAATTTGAGTGGTACAGATGCATGATGAAGAATGGTAAGGGTGGTTTCAAGAATGTGTCGATGCTTGCGTTAGGCAGTGCCAACTAGTTGGGGAGTGTATGGAGGGCTCAAAAGGTGTTGAATGCCAGATTCTTGAAGAATAATTTTAAGGCCGATGTATTCACCACCTCCATAAGTGTAAAGTGTACCAATTTTAGCGGAGAAGTAGTTCTCAACAACTTTCTTAAAATTGATAAAGGTTTGAGTGACATCCGATTTGTGCTTAAGAGGAAATAGCCATGTGTATTTGGTGAAATGATCAACAAAAATGACATAAAAACGAAAATTATCAAATGATGTAATAGGAGCTGGACCCCAAACATCTGAGTAAATTATTTCAAATGGTCGATGACTAACAATAGATGTTGCACCAAATTGAAGTTGGTGACTTTTATTACAAAGGCAAGAATTGCAGAATGTAAAAGAGTTACTAAGGGACACTGGAAGCTTAAAAGAAGAGATGAAGCTCTTGGTGATACGTGGCTGCGGATGGCCAAGTCTTGCATGCCAGAGATGTAAGGTAGGAGACTGGGAAGCGACAAAGTAAGCTTGATGTGAGAGACTGGTGCATCTACTAGGCAGCTTAGTTGTTGGCCATTCAGAGAGGTCATTGTTGCTCCGTCCTTGAAGTAGTGCTGTGCAACGACCCGACCGGTCGTTTTGAGCTTCTGCACTTCGCTCGCCAGTTCTCGGGCATGACTAGCCCCGTGTGATGTATTATCACTATGTAAATCGTCGGTTTTGGTTTTCAGGGTAATCGGAATGGTTTTGGAAGAACAGTTCTCAGTTTGAAGCTTTAAATTTGAAAGGTTTGACCAAGTTTTGACTTGTTAGTAAATGATCTCGGATTGAAATTTTTATGACTTGGTTAGCTCCGTTAGGTGATTTGGGACTTAGGAGCGTGATCGGAATGTGTTTTGGAGGTCCGGAGTAGATTTAGGCTTGAATTGGCGAAATTGGAATTTTGGCATTTTCCGGTTGATAGGTGAGATTTTGATATAGGGGTCGGAATGGAATTTCGGAAGTTGCAGTAGGTTCGTTGGGTCATATGTGATGTGTGTGCGAAATTTCAGGTCATTCGGACGAGGTTTGATGCACTTTTTGATCAGAAGTGGAATTCGGAAGTTTTTGGAACCTTAGGCTTCAATCTGATGTGATTTGGTTGATTCGATGTTGTTTGAGGTGTTTTGGAGATTGGTATAAGTGTTGATAGTGGTATATGACTTGTTTGTGCTTTTGGTTGAGGTCCCGGGGGCCTCGGGGTGATATCGGATGGTTGACGGAAGATTTTGAGTTGGGTTTGGCCGCTGAAGTTTTTCTATTGCTGTCATAACTGCACCTGCGGCTAGGGGATCGTAGGTGCGGACTCGTAGAAGCGGATATGGAGCGCAGAAGCGGCCTCAGGCGAAGTGAGAGAAGGCGCAGATGCGGGATGTGACCCGCACCTGCGGGCCCGCAGATGCGGAGCCTGGGTCGCAGGTGCAGAAATGGAACTTAAGTGAGTAACCGCAGAAGCGGTGCTTTGACCGCAGAAGCGGTAGAGCAGATGCGACATTGAACCGCAGGTGCGGTTTTGCTGGGTCAGAATATATAAATTTCACCCTTCGCGATTTTGAGTGGGTTTTCACCATATTTCATTCGGGAGGAAGCTTTGGGGAGCTAATTGAAGGGGGAATTCAAGAAGGTTTCTTAGAGGTAAGGTCCTTGGTCCCTAAACTCATTTTTATGATGATTTTTAAGGTTGTAAGCTTGAATTACATGCGAAAATCAGTAGCAAATTGGAAGTTAGGGCTTGGAAATTGGAGACCTAAATCTATGGATTTGAGGGGTCGTTTGTGGTCGAATTTTGATGTATTTGATATGTATGAACTCGTGAGAGTGTAAGGATTCTAGTTTTATGACTTGTATCGGATTCCGAGATGTGGGCCCGGGGGTCGGGTTTGGTCAATTTCGAGATTCTTGATGTAAATTGGTTATTTTCGAGTGGGCTTTGTTCCCTTAGCCTATTTTGATGGTATAAATCGGTTTTGGATAGATCTGGAGCATCCGGAGGCCGATTCGAGAGGCAAAGGCATCACGGGCTAGAGTTGGTCCGGATTGAGGTAAGTAATGATTGTAAATACTATCCTGAGGGTATGAAACCCCGGATTTCACATCGTTGTGCTACTATGAGGTGACGTGCACGCTAGATGATGAGCGTGGGGTCGTGCACCGTTGGGGATTGTGACTTGGTCCATCCCGTATGACTATCAAGTCGTGTATTTTACTTGAAAACTATTTGATATTGTTATATTTTGGATAATATTATTGTGTTTGGAGCTAAATGCCGTGTCTGCGCCTTGTGCCGCTAGTTTGGACCCTTAGGGGCTTTTACTACTGTTTTTCCTCACTGTTTTTGTTTAATGTTTACACTCAGTCATGCTATGTTCTTTCTGTTTTCATAACTCGGTTTTATTCACTCCTTTGATTTCATAAATGATTTTGAGCCGAGTACTTGTTTTACTATCAACCCGGTGGGCTTGAGTGAGATCTGACTGAGTGAGGCTGAGGGCCTGTGTTGTGAGGATATCATGGGATCGGGCTGCGTACCGCAGCATGTGGTACTAATTTGTGATATATGAGAGGCTGAGGGCCTGATTTACTATCCCATGAGGTGGCTTGTGATTGATATGAGGCCGAGAGCCTATTTGATTATGCCACGAGATGGCTTGTTATTGCGCTTGGGCCGTAAGGGGCCCCTCCCGGAGTCTGTACACCCCCAGTGAGCGCGGGTACCCAGTGTGAGTGATGCGTTGTAGCCCGAGGGGCTGTTGTTTCATATTGAAGCCCGAGGGGCTGTTCTTGATCTATGTTGCCCGAGGGGAGGTCCTTGATGCATATTATGCCCGAGGGGCGGTTTATGGTACATGTTTTGCCTGAGGGGCTGTTTATGTTTATATCATTTTTACTCACTTTTTTATCACTCGTTTGAAACTATTGGAAGATGTTTGAAAAAGGAAAGGGTTTTTACTGAAACTGTGTTTAATTTACGAAATAAATGATCTTTGTACTGCTTTGGAAATGTACTGTATTTGCTGTAGCGTTATGACGTGGTTTACGTGTTTTCTTACTGCTCAGCTTTCATTTACTTTTATTACTTACTGAGTTGGCGTACTCACATTACTCCCTGCACCTTGTGTGCAAATTCAGGTATTTCTGAACCCGGTAGCGGGTGTTGATTGCTCAGTGGCAGAGTCATTGGAGTTAGCAAGGTAGCTGCCCGACGTTCGCAGCACTGCTTTTCTCCCTCTTGTTTTCCTTAGACTGTATTTAGTACATTTTTAGACTCTTAGTTGTATTCAGACCTTAGTAGATGCTCGTGACTTGTGACACCCCGATGTCGGGCTTGTGTATTTATTCCGCACAGTTCGTTTAGAATTACATTATGAGATATTTGATTAATTAAAGGCTTAAAAAATGATTTTTATTGAATAATGGTTAATTCAGGAATTGTGTCGGCTGGCCTAGTTTCACGATAGGCGCCATCACAACCGGGTCGGTTTGAGGGTCGTGACAAGTTGGTATCAGAGCCTAGGTTACATAGGTCTCACGAGTCATGAGCAGGTTTAGTAGAGTCTCGCGTATTGGTACGGAGACGTCTGTACTTATCCTCGGGAGGCTGCAGAACCTTTAGGAAATCCCACATTCTTGAAGTCTTATCGTGCGTCCTTGATTCAGCTTGAAATGATTCCTTCCACGCGTTCTTATGCGCGCATGAGCGCTCAATACCAGATGTGCATCGATGGCTTGTGATTCCCTAATCGAGGGGCGAGATGTGATCTCTGTGTGTTGATGTTGGGCCAGTTTGGAAGACTTGAGGTCGGATTTTGCCTATAGCTTGAGCCTTGAGTTGTTGATTGCGCGAGCGTGTTTCTGGATCTATATGTTCGATTGTCCCTACTAAGGGAAGTGATGACTGGATAGTTACGTGATGAGTGAGATGTGACTGCGAGATGTGTTCATATGAATTGAATGAGACGAGAAGGGTCTGCTTTGGGGCAGCAAGAACTATCTGGTGTTTGATTTCCATCGTGATTTGATGTATAGCCCCGAGTTGTGGGTGTTATGAAGGATCTTTTCATGTTGCCTAGTTAGGAAGTGAAATAGATTTCACGTTGTGATATGAGTTCAGACTCAGGAAGATTAAAGGACTGTGT